TAACCTGCCCTCAATGTGGGTAGGCACCAGGCAATCAGCTGGACCAAGATAGAACGAAAACAGTAAAAAGGGTAACTTGGTTTCTCTCTCTCCAGGACTGAGATCACACCTGTTCTGCCTTGGACATCAGAACTCTAGGCTCTCCAAGTGAGAATTGGGATGGAAAAAAAAAAAAAAAAAGAACTCCGGGCTCTCTGGCCTTTGGATTCCAGCACTAAACATCAGTTGCCTCCTAGGTTCTCAGGCCTTTGGTCTTGAACGGAGAGTTACACCATCGGCTTCTCTGTTTCTGAAGCCTTCAGACTTTGACTGAGCCATGCTACTGGCATCCCAAGGGTCTCCAGCTTGGAGATGGCTTGTCCTGGGATTCTCAGCCTCCATAATCAATGAATGCGCCAATGCCCCTAATAAAGTCCCTCTCACCTATGTATCTATGTATTTTTGTATCTATCCATCATGCACCCTATTGGTTCTGTCTCTCTGAAGAACCCTAACTAATACAACTCCTTTTTTGGCGGGGGGGGGGGGCAGAGTCTCACTCTGTTGCTCAGGCTAGAGTTCCATGGTGTCAGCCTAGCTCACAGCAAGCTCAATCTCCTGGGCTCAAGTGATCCTTCTGCCTCAGCCTCCTGAGTAGCTGGGACTACAGGCATGCGCCACCATGCCTGGCTAATCTTTTCTATGTTTGGTAGAGACGGGGTCTCGCTCTTGCTCAGGCTGGTCTCAAACTCCTGAGCTCAAATGATCCTCCTGCCTCGGCCTCCCAGAGTGCTAGGATCACAGGAGAGCCACCTCACCCTGCCCTAATACAACTCTTAATTCCACACTTGAGGTGAGTTCTACAAGTGATCATGTGATCTATATTGGGTCAGAGGCATAGAGGCTTGGATATATGACTTATCAGGACCAATAGGTATCATATCTGAGATTCCAGCTGGAAGGGTCTGGAAAGAAACTCTCTTCACTGAGGTTGCTCACCTGTTAGGCCATAAGCCTGCAACTGTTTATGGTCATCTTTGCCACCATGTGGGAAGAATTCTATTATTAGTGAAACAGACACAGAGGAAAAGAGAAGGTAGGAAGAGAGAGATTCCTAACCATATTATATCAGACATGGTGCTAATTACATCAGCCACCCTGGACCTATTTCTGGGGACTTTTTCAATTACATCAATTCCCTCTGGGTTTGTTTTCAGCTTTGGTGTTTTGTTTTTACTGAAGCCAGTTTGAGGTATTTTTGACACTTATAATGGAAAGAGTCCTGTAATTCATTCATTCATTCATTGACAGGTTTTGGGGGTTTTTTATTTGTTTGTTTTGCTTTTGAGACAGAGCTGTTGCCTGGGCTAAAGTGCAGTGGCATCATCAGAGCTCACTGCAACCTCAAACTCCTGGGCTCAAGCAATCCTCCTGCCTCAGTCTCCCAAGTAGCTGGGGCTACAGGTACATGCCACCATGCCCAGCTCATTTTTATATTTTTTGTAGAGACAGGGTCTCACTCTTGCTAAGGCTGGTCTCGAACTCCTGGCCTCAAGCAATCCTCCCACCTCAGCCTCCCAAATTGTTAGGATTATAGGTAGGAGCCACCATGCCCAGCCTAACAACTGTTTACTCACATAAAGTTTTATGAGAGTTCTGAGAAGAGGATGATTAATTGTGACTACAGTAGAGGGGGGAAGAGGTTGGTTTAGGAAGGCAGGAGGCTGGGGTGGAGCCCTAGAAATGGCATTACTTTTATTAGGGACACCCTTTGTCAGATGATTGTTTGTTTGTTTTGAGACTCTGTTGCCCCAGGCTAGAGTGCTGTAGTGTCAGCCTAGCTCTCAGCAACCTCAAACACCTGGGCTAAAGTGATCCTCCTGCCTCAGCCTCCTGTATAGCTGGGACTACAGGCAAGCACCACCAAATCCAGCTAATTTTTTTATGTATATATTTTTTAGTTGTCCAACTAATTTCTTTCTATTTTTCTTAGTAGAGATGGGGTCTCCCTCTTGCTCAGTCTGGTCTCAAACTCCTGAACTTAAACGATCCTCCGGCCTCCGTCTCCCAGAGTGCTGGGATTACAGGAATGAGCCACCACACCCGGCCTGTCAGATGATTCTGATGTAAGCAGAACCAACATGATGATGCAAGTTCATTGCTCTAGGAAATTCATAACCTATGGGCAGGTGGGGCAGGCTGCTCATGGGGAAGAAAGACAGTAAAATAGGCACCCATTTTACTCTTTTCTGTTGCTATAACAGAATACCATAGACTGGATAATTTATTTATTTATTTTTATTTTATATATATATATTTTTTGAGACAGAGTCTCACTTTGTTTCCCAGGCTAGAGTGCTGTGGCATCAGCCTAGCTCACAGCAACCTCAATCTCCTGGGCTCAAACGATCCTTCTGCCTCAGCCTCTTGAGTAGCTGGGACTACAGACATGTGCCACCATGCCTGGCTAATTTTTTTATGTATATATTTTTTAGTTGTCCAGCTAATTTCTTTCTATTTTTAGTAGAGACGGGGTCTCGCTCAGGCTAGTTTCGAACTCCTGACCTCGAGTGATCCACTCACCTCAGCCTCCTAGAGTGCTAGGATTACAGGCATGAGCCACCACACCCGGCCTGGATAATTTATTTTTAAAAAAGTTTATTTCTTACAGTTCTGGAGGCTAGGAAGTCCAAAAGCCTAGTGCCAGCACCTGGTGAGGGTCTTCTGGCTGCATCCTAACATGAAAGAAGACATCACATGGCAAGAGGGAAAGAGGCAGTGGCTCAGGTCTCTCTTCTTATAAAGCTGCCAGTCCTACCATGGGCCCCCACCCTGATGACTTTCTCTAATTCAAATTACCTCTGAAAGGCCTTACCTCCAAATACCATCCAAATATGAATTGGAAAATTAAGTTTCCAACACATAAAATTTGGGGACACATTCAAACCACAGCAGTGCCTATCACAGTGTTGCAGGGAAAATGAAATATGCTGTGTGGATACCACTGGCATTTACCATATGCTGGTCCCCTTCTCTACAACATCCAGCCCTCTGAGATAGGGCCTCTGATTTTCCCCTGCCTTAGGCTGCTTCCTCCAGGCCTGGGATTCTAATGGGAAGTTCAGGCTGAGTGGAGTAACTGCATGTGTCTGGAAGGCTAAAGCCCTGACTACAGGGGAGGGGATCCAGAGGGTTCAAGGTTACAGACTGTAAGCAGTAAACAGACTGTGGAGTCAAGCTGCCAGTCTGATGCTTACCAGCTAAGTGACCTTAGACAAGTCACTCTTTCCTCCTATCTAAAATAGGAAGATAATGATAAAATCTGCCCTATGGGGTTGTTATTAGATTAAATAAGCAATTACATACCAAAGGGCTTAGAACAGTTCCTGGCAAAGAGTAAGGGCTCAATCAATTGGCTATTATTTTTATTTCCCTCTCCCCTCCATTCTAAGCAAGTAAACCAAATTTATACCAACAGGTTTTTTTCTCTCTGTGTCCCTCCCCTCCCTGGCTCCCTCCTATCCTCTGTAGCTCATCCTATGTAACTGCCTTCAGAGAACACGATCCAACACAGATCCTTTAGAAAAGCAGGTTTATTGGTCAGGCTGCTCACCAGGACACAGCAACGTGAGAGGTTCCCTAGAGCCCGCAGAAAACTGCATCTGCCCACAACTCAGGCCCCTTCAGCCCAACAGCACCAAGGGATCTTGTCCCACAATCCCATCCTCCCTCCACTGACATGTCTCCAACCATTCAGAGGAGAGAAGGGAACCCAGAAAAGGAAAAGAATGGAAAAAAAAAAAAAAAGCAAAGCTTTGTATTGTATAAAAGGTTTGTGTCCCCAGGCTCCCTCCCCCCACCCCTTAAAACAATTAGCTGCAATTCTAAAAAGCTGAACAGGGGAGAAGGAGGGAGCCCTCCAGCCCTCCCTTCAGGCTATGACTTGGAGGGAGAGGTTGTCCTTGCTTCTGACAAACTGCCTTTAATGGGGAGGAACAGTGGGACTGAAGTGTCAGGAGTAGAGCCTCGCCAGTGGCCAACAGACATCAGGCCCCAAAGATTCAGGAAAGGCACCCCTAATGACAAGGAACCAGGGATGTCTCAGCAAGTGCTGCAGCTCTGTGACACTAGCTCTAGGAAGGGATCTGGAGAAGGAACCAGTGCTGTCCCACCTCCCCTCCAGCTCTCAGCTTGGTGACCTGGCCATGAGCACCCCACCACCCCTAGCTCCCAGCCAACTGCTGCCACCTTCTGGGACCCTAATTTTCTGGGCTTCAAAGAATAGGCTGTCCTGGGGGGCACCACCCGGATCTCAGTTAAGGGATCAGGTTAGGCTTACCTCTCTTTCCTCTTTGGAGCATCACTTTCTCACACTGTTCTCCCTCCTGATTCTGAAAAGGGTCCTGGCGCCCTCTGAGAACCCAGCAAGATGGGTTTCTCATGCTGCTAATGAAACTTCTTTCTCTCTTCACCCATTTCCACCTTCTCCTGTTTGCCCATTCTCCTTCCCAAAGCCATAGCATGTGTTCCACGTGTGCAGAGGCATGAACATGTAAGTGTGCCCCACCCCGTCCTTCCCCAGGGCTCCTCTCGGCTCCAGCCTTCCTTGTTGGGACCCTTTGCAGATAGAGCCTGCGCTGGACCCTCATCCAGACTGAGGGCTCATTCTGCCCTCTGCCCCCACCACCTCAGTTGCCCCCCCCAAAGCTGCTTTCATGTCCTTCTAGTAGGATTCACTCTTTCCTCTTTGGGTAATTTTTTTTTTTTTTTTTTGAGACAGAGTCTCGCTTTGTTGCCCAGGCTACAGTGAGTGCCGTGGCGTCAGCCTCGCTCACAGCAACCTCAAACTCCTGGGCTCAAGCAATCCTCCTGCCTCAGCCTCCCGAGTAGCTGGGACTACAGGCATGCGCCACCATGCCCGGCTAGTTTTTTCTATATATATTAGTTGGCCAATTAATTTCTTTCTATTTATAGTAGAGACGGGTCTTGCTTTGCTCAGGCTGGTCTCGAACTCCTGACCTCCAGCAATCCGCCCGCCTCGGCCTCCCAGAGTGCTAGGATTACAGGCGTGAGCCACCGCGCCCGGCCATCCTCTTTGGGTAATTTTGGCTTTGAAGCCCCAGGGGTCAGGATGGGAAGGAAGAGAAGAGCTCCCTGAGCAGGGAGTGAGCAGGGGAAACTGAGGGGAAGGAAGCCCCGAAAGGGGGCCCGACTGTGGAATCAGGGCACTTTCCTTCAGGACCTCCGACTTGGACAACTGAGACATGGATCGCCCCCCTTCCCATTTCCACCCGCACCACGTCCAAACCGGGGCTCTCCCCTGGGGGGGCTGCCTCCCTCTCCGGGCTTAACAGCTGTAAGACTCGGAGGAGTGCTCCTTGAAGGCAGGTGTTTTAAATCTAGAAACATCTCAGCCAGTTGGGGGCTGAGAGAGAATGCGAAAGAGAAAGTTCAGAAAGGGAAAGGAACAGGGTGGGGGCGGGGAGAGGCAGGGCCCGCGTCCTGCTCAGTCGCTGTCGCTCTTGTCCACCAGCACGGCGTCCGACTCCTCGGTGATCTCCAGCAGCGTGTGCACGTCGGGGCTGCTCCCGCGCAGCAGGTCGGCGGCCTCGCCGCGCTCGGCGCCCTCGTCGTCGTCGTCGGCGCCCACCTCCACCATCTCGGTGGCCTTCAGCACCTCCACCTCGCCCTCGCGGATCTTCTTGACGTGGAAGGTGAAGGGCGGCACCTTGTACACCGCCGTCTTGGAGCGCGCGTAGACCACGTGGTCGGGCGTGAAGGACTTGCGCAGCTTGTCGCGCGACGTCTTGAGCTTCTCGCGCCGCTCGGCGGGGACCAGGCGCGTGCCCAGCTTGTTCATGCGCTTCTCCAGGGTGTGCCGCGTCTTCTCCAGGTTCTCCTTGGTCTTGAGGCGGGTCTTCTCCAGGTTCTCGCGCGTGCGCACGCGGGTCTTCTCCATCTTCTCCTTGGAGAAGGCCTTCTTGAAGTCGTCCACGCGCCGCAGGCCGCTGCGCTTGATGCGCTCGGCGCGCGACTCCTCGATGACCTCCTCCACCTCCACCGCCTCGTCGGACGACAGCTCGAGCGCCGCCGCGTCCTCCTCGGGCCGCTCGCCCTCGCCCAGCTCGTCGCCCTCCTTCTCGGGCAGCGCCTCCGCCTCCTTCAGCGACTTGCTGACGCTCAGCTTGGCCGGCAGCTTCACTTCGTCCTAAGCGAGACAAGAGCGCACATGAGAGGGGCACAGGAGCAGGGCCGGGCGGGGACGCGAGGGACCCGAGTCGGGGTGGTGGCGATCCTGGGGAGGGCAGCGGGGGCCCGCGCGGTACCCGAGAGATCGGCCTGACTCGTTTGCTGCTGTGTCCCCAGCGCCTGGCACAGAGCTGGGCACGTCGTGGGCGCTGGATAAGCTTGTGTTGAATGACGGTACCGACGGCGCGCGGAGGGAACCGAGCTTTGGGTCGGAAATGGGCCTGCATTATAATCGAGCTTTGCAGCCCTGCAACCATGTGCTCGCGCCCCCTACCGACCCCTCAGATAGTGTTGCACCGTCGCGGCCTCAGGGGACACGGCTTAACCTTGGAAGTGGGCGGAGCGCCCTCTGGTGCCCTAAGTCGCACACTGCCCGAGCCGGGCCAAATAGCCAGCGGAGGGAGTCTGCGTAGGTTGAGTTGGGTAGGGGTGTGAGCACACAGCCAATCCTCAGGTGGCCCCCAAGTAGAGTGACTTGAAGGTAAAGAAAAGGGGGTGCGTTTTCCGGACTCAAGCCATTTCAGAACCAGCCTCAGAGAAGGAGAGCTGTGGTCATGTCCCATCCCGGTTGTTGCTTGACTTCCTTATGCTGTTTGGCCCCACTATGGTCACTGCCCCCCCCCCCATGTAGAAATTGATGTAGAAAAGAAGCAGCAGGCCGAGCGCAGTGGCTCACGCCTGTAATCCTAGCTCTCTGGGAGGCCGAGGCGGGTGGATTGTTCGAGGTCAGGAGTTCGAAACCAGCCTGAGCAAGAGCAAGACCCTGTCTCTACTAGAAATAGAAAGAAATTAATTGGCCTACTAATATATATAGAAAAAATTAGCCTGGCATGGTGGCGCATGCCTGTAGTCCCAGCTAGTTGGGAGGCTGAGGCAGGAGGATTGCTTGAGCCCAGGAGTTTGAGGTTGCTGTGAGCTAGGCTGACGCCATGGCACTCACTCTAGCCTGGGCAACAAAGCGAGACTCTGTCTCAAAAAAAAAAAAAAAAAGAAAGAAAAGAAGAAGCAGCTGGCTAGAAGCCAAGGACATTTTCTCCCCAGTCTGGATATTTCTTCTGGTTCTGACTTCCCTGCCTTGGAATGGAAAGGAGAGATTACTATTCTATTCTTGCTTTTTTTCCCCAGGCCTGAGGTCAAGGGTCCAGGAATAGGAAGGTGGTCCCAGATTCCCCATGATTCTGGACCTCAGACCCACCTCTTCTCGTCCCCCTCTTCCCCTTGGAGGATCTAGTGCCAGCACTGTTTTCCACTCCAGGAAGATATTCCAAGATCTTGACTCTGGACCAACATTTCAGAATCTCAAGATCACTCCTTCCCCCACCCCACCCCATTAGAAGGTAGGGGAGGCTGAGCACAGAAAGGCAAAGGGGCATAACCCAGAACAGGATCTCCTCCTTGGCCCAGACTCTCTTTAAGGACTTCAGAATGAGAGAGTGTAGTTTTTCAAAAGGGTTTTCTGAAGTTTGTTTCCCAGAATTGTAAGAAAATCCTATCTCCTGAGAAAATGAGACATTAACTAATCTCTCTCATAGACACGCACACACAGAAACACAAACACGCACACACCCCTAAACATAAGGCCACTCAGTATCTCTGCACCACCTGGTACAGAAATTCCTTCCCCAGCCCCCAGCCTCTTTCCTCTTCCCTCCCATGCACATCCCCCCAGAGTTTCCTGGTTTACACTGAAAACTAGGAACACCCGCTCCCAACTTCCTTCCCTCCCTGTCAATAGCATTAGCAGGGACAAAGAAAGAATGTGGCTCCACCTCTTCTCCCAACTGGGCACCAGCTCTGTTGGGCACCAAGCCACCTCCAGCTCTCTATTACCCTACTACACCTCCCAGCAGGCAAGGTGACTTGGACACACGGCATGCTGGGACTTGTAGTCTCCACATGCCATAGGTGGCTTAGTGGTATCATGGATATCCTAGAGCATTCTGTTCATCCCTCTGCCTCTTATCATTTGCCGAGGCATTGGAGGGTGTTTTTCTTGTTCTGAGTATAGGAGGGTCCCACCCTTTCTTAGCAGTCCCTCCAATTTCCAGGCCTACACTTTGGGTCTCCTGCTATCACCCTCCTCCTGCCTGCTACTGGAGTGGACTTAAACATTTTAGGACTTTCTAGGATCTAAACTCTCTACTACCTCTTCATCTATCTCCACCCAGAATTTACCTGTAGCTCTAGTATATATAAAAAAAATTCAGTTCTGATCTTGCCTTCATAGCCTCCCAAATTAAAAAACCCACCCACACTCCACCAAAGGGTGGAGAGCCCCTCCTTTCACTAAGCTCAGACAATGTGCATGAGCTAGGGAGGGATTAAGGCCGACAGGCAGGGAATAGTCAGGAAACAGCCCCAGCTGCTGGAAAACAAATCCACATTGTCTCCCTGCCCTATCCCCAGCATCCTCCATTCTCCTCTATCCACCCACCGCTGCTCCACCCCTACCCCTAAAGGCTGAGCTAGCTGGTTTTTCTGGCATCTGGCTTCCTAGATAAAGGTCTCTACCAGCTGAGCTTAGAAGTGAACGGGGGCTGGGGAGACAGCTGCAGAGAGAGCTGCAGAGGTCTTGCTTGTAGCCAATCCCATCTTCCTAGTGCCTGAGGAAAGGTCTCAAACTACAACATCAGGGAGGAGTCCCAGTGAGGGAGGTTTCTTCCTGGATTTGGGAGAGTCACCCCAGACCAGAAAGGTACCTGGGGGATATAACCCGATTCATTGTAGGCTTCCCCTAGGGTGATGACTTATACCAGAGGAGCTGCCTTCTTGGTGGCAGGTCAGGAGATATGAGAGAAAACACTTGACCTCAGACAATGTCCAGGAGGCTGGCTCTGGAGAGGGTATACTACCATTAACCTTTTCCCTCCATTAATGGGTGTCTCTTTTCTCCCCCTTTCCAAGCCAGGTTTCCCCCATGACTCATGCTCTTGGAGTGCTATCTTGGACCCACCCAGTCTGCCTGTTGCTACAGCCACCAACACAATCCAAAAGCACCTCCCCCAACACTGGGCACACAGGCCAAGCACCTTTGTCCCACCCCTACTTCCCTGGCAGACCTCCTAAGCCAGAGGAGGGGCCTCAGGGGATGGCAGAGAGGGAGGGCTGTGTGTTCTGTTTTCCCGTTTTTTATTAAACAAAACCACCACTCCCAACAGGCTTGGTTTCCAGAGTTACCTTTAATGACCAGGTCTGAACAAAAACATGCACAGCTCACCCTGCCCCTCGCCAATCACACACAACCCCCACCCCAGGAAGGCCCTAGACCTAGATGGACTTAGAGGAGCCCCAGGGAGGCTCCCAGCTTCTTTCACTCTGTCCCCAATCCTGCTGTCTAAACTTAAGATATTCTGGCTTAGGGAATTTTTTAAATAAGATTATAATTTAATTGAGCACCTACTATGTGTCCAGCCTGTAGCCAGGCACCTCACATTTGTTAGGGAAAAGGGACAGGTACCACCTGGATCTGAGTAGGAGCCTCTCCTGACTTAGAGCTAATAAGCACTGTCCCCAAACACTGCCCAGGAACGGCCAGAGGGGACATTGGAGAGGTAACTCAGAGCCCAGGGTCTGCCTAGAGAGTCTGTTAGGAAAAGATGGAGAAGGGGGAGAGGTGAAGGTGAGAAAAGTCTCAAAAACTCAGGGCCTCCACTTTAGGTTGCCACAACAAGGAGATGAGAGATACCAAAAGAGAAGGTCCTTCCCTTCTCCTATGACATGCATTCTTGACTGGGGTGATATTGCCTCCACAAGGACAAAAATCGGTATCACAATGGTTCATGGTGCTCCAAAGAGCCACAGCACATAAACAGATACACAGTATATCTGTTGTACTAAAATTCCACGGGGAAAAAAAAAAAAAGAAGAACGAAAAATGAAAGAAAAACAAGATAAAAAAGAAAAATAAATAAAAATAAAATTCCACGGGGGAGATGGACAATTAGGTTAAAAATATCTAAAAAGGCTTCTTAGGGGGATGAACATGGGGGAGAAAATGTTGAGAAACACTGTGCTATAGTGAGACCCAAGGATCCAAGCCAGAGCCAGCTAAAATGTCCTCTTTTCTGGATTGAATTGGCAGCTTTTGGATGCCCTGCCCAGGGCAGGCTCTGGCAAACATAAGGGATCTCTTTGCAAAACATTTTCTAAAAGAAGTGGAAAAAATAAGTGTAAATGCTTTCCTCAGCTACAGGAAAGAGGCAGAGAGGGCACAGAACAGACCCCAGGCCATGAGGGCCCTCTCCAAGGAGGCGTGGAGCCAAGCTGGCCTATCCCCCAAGATGTGGAGGCAGGGGAAGAGAAGAATGAGCAGCCATCCGCAGTTTCATGCAGTGCAGCCGTGGGGTGCAGCCCCAGTAGGATGTTGCAAGTACCTACTATTAAAACAGAAACTAAGAGGTAAGGGAGGGCCCTTCCCCACTGCACACACCACATTTGCCTTAACCATGTACAACACAAGAGTGTTTTCATGATACCCACATCCAACCACCGGGGGCAGTGGTCTGGGATGGTGGCAGTCCCAACACTGAACACCACCAAGCAGCAGGCTGATGGTGGAGCAGAGTGACACTCCATGTCCACAGCCCCATGGGACCCAGGGGACCCTAAATGCTCCCACCGGCTTTCGGCTCCTCTGGAGTGGGCAGGGGCCCCAGCTCTGGGTAATAGGGCAGTGTCCTAGGCGTCTGGTCAAAAGGTGGGGGCTCAGGCACTGTCTCAGGCTTCGGGTCAAAGGGCTCAGTCTCAGGCAGAAGGTCAAAAGGCACGATCTTGGGTGTGGCCAGGTCAGAGGGTGCATTCAGCTTCTTCTTGGGCTAAGATGAGGAAAAGGGGTTTAAATGGGGCTTGGGATAGGTAAGGACAGGGTTGAGAGAAAGAGGCCTTGGTGGCATGCACAGCAGGGATTGGTGAGGAAGGAGGGGACACAGGTCTTCAGGTGAAAAGAAACCACCTTTTAAA